AAATTCAAACTGAATCAACCAGGAAGAGATGGCTGCTCCATTAGGGTAAAAGGAGTAGTGCCCCACCAAGCTCAGCTCCTTGGTTCCTTAACAGGAAAAGTAAAACAAAAGCCTTACTGAATTTAGTACTAGTCCAAGACTAGCAAGCTGTCAGCTCCCTCCTTAATCAATCTTAGTCTTGCCTTATTGTCTTTCTGGATGTCAGCCAAGTTCCTCCCTATACTCCCTGCCCCCCTTCTTAAAAACGCCGCTTCTTTTCCAGGCCAAAGTCAGTGGGTGACCACTGCAAATATTATAGAAAGTTGATGAGGAATACTGAAATAAGGAAAGTCTGAGTGGCTTGGACAGTGGATTTGTACAGAATTTACTGACAAATCAGAGACTCACAAAGGCAGCAGATGTCACTGCACAATGTCCAATTGCACCAGAAGAAAGTGGAAGGCCATATCAATGGGTGTGGTTTTGCTCTTGTGTGTTGCTGCTTGGAAAGGGCCTGGCCTTTCTGGGGCCTTTTCTGTGCTATATGGTAAGGAATAGTAGGAAAATTCGAATTTGTTGTTGATTATCTGTGGAAGTGATTGTCCCTGGCTCATTTGGCCTGATGGGGGAGAGTGTTGATGTAGGCTTCTGGGGGGGGGGGGTATGTAAAAAAAACCAAGCAATCTATGACAATTCATATAGGTCTGCCTGTTACTTTTTAAAGCAAGAGCACTCTATATAGAAAAATGGTAAGGGGAGGGATTTTTGGTTCTGTTGTTCTGCCATTGTGTCCCCCTTTATATAATTACTTTCCCTCCAGATATAGGCCCCAGTCACACGCGCAGGAAACTGCGGGGGAGAAGAGTGGCTGTTTGCCCCGGGGCAAACTAACACACAGTAAAGCGATCATACCTCCTGTGGAGGTTCTGTGGAGGTACCGTGGAGCTTCCGTGGTTACGGAGAGGCGTCGATCACAACACATGCCTGCGCGCAACGAAGAAGCGTGCGGCGCGGCGAACTGGGTTTCTTTTTTCGTGTACACTACGAATGCGCATGCTCCGTTGGGTGCGTGTGCGCAACCACGGAGACTTGGGGGGAAAAAACTTATTCGCAAGGGGACATGGGTGGGCGCCGGATGCCACCGGAAACGCGATCAGACGCCCGCTCTTGCCCCGCAGTTTCCGGAAACTTGTACCTCCGAGGTACTAGTTTTTTGCTGCGCGTTTTCGGGAGGAAGCCTCGGTTGTGCCACAGAAGCGCTACGCTCCCCAGATGTGCTGGTGAGATCGCGCTCGGAAACTCCGCCTGTCTTCCGTATCTCTTGCGTGGCTAATGTTGCGTGTGACCGCAGCCATAGTACAGAAAGGCTGCAATTCTAAGCACACTTACTAGTGAGTAAGCCCCACTGAGTTCCATTGGACTTCTTAGTGAACAACATTTTACCTGTTGAAAAATTCTTAAGAGCTTGAAGGTTTGCCTAATGTGCTGGGTTATTTTGGTTGGTATCAATAAAAGGTATTTCATGGCTGTGGCTCTTGATTTTTTTTAAAATACAGTATTTTAAATTTCTCTCATGCACACAGTGAAATCTAAACTCTTTTCCATGTACTCCTGTTGTTTCTTGTGGTAGAGGCCTGACTCTTTAAGCTTCTCTGCTGACTTTCACATTGCTAAACACACATGCATTTATTATGCAGTAATAATACTAGTTTGTCACTATTCGGTGCATTAAAAAAGTACAAAACTGAGAGAGAAGCCTAACTGGGTGGTATTACCAAGTGGTTGCGGGACAGGTTGTTGGCTAGAGGTGACTGGAAAGGGTGGAGATTGCAACATTTTCCCCTTAAGAGAGTCAAGTATGACAGCAATCAAAGCAAGAAATTGTTAAGTTCATGGAGATATTGTTAAGGAACTGATTACTGTGCTTGAATGTTCTTAGTGTGCAAGGGAGAAGGAGGAGGACAAAATCAGACTTAATTTGCTCTGGCTCTGTCCACTGTTTGCTGTCCTAAGCCATACAAGCCCCCCCCCCCGGCACTGGCCACCACTGCAACTGAGCATTGCAAATTTCAGGCTTATATGTGGTATTGTTTATTATCATGGTTCCCTACTGCTCCCCCACTCTCTCCACTCTCTTTGAGGACAGTGATCGATTGCTTTGTGGCAGTCATTTCCTCCAGGGGAACTAATGTTGCCAACTTCCAGGGCTGGAGATCTCCTGGAATTACAACTGATTTCCAGATGACAGGGGTCAGTTCCCCCAAATAAAATGGCTGCTTTGAAGGGTGGAGTTTGTGGTATTATACTCTGCTGAGGTAACTTCCAAGCTCAAACCTCATCCTCCCAAGGCTCCGCCCCAAATCTGCAGGAATTTCCCAACATGAAGCTGGCAACCCTAAGAGGAACTGATCTCTGTATTAGGGCAATTAGTTATGATTCCTGGAGAGCAGCTACTGCTACTGCTGCTGGGGGGGGGGGAGTAGGTGGAAGGCCGGAATAGTGACAGGGGCAGAAAGAGTGATGGGGTGGGGGCAAAAAAGAAGTGACAGTCATGGAGGGGAGAGAGAGAGAAAGAGAGAGTAAGAAAAGGGGTGGCAGGAAGGAGAAAGAGTGAGAAAGAAGTAGAGGGAGAGGGGAAGAAGTAGAGGTGGGGGGAATGGGATAGCTGCTCCTGCAAGTTTCTTGTGGGTCCCCGCTTGTCCTGAGTATATACCAGTGTAAGTGGTTGGTAGTTCAGCAGTTCGAGACCCGAGTGCCACATGACAGAGTGAGCTTCCGTCTCTGTTCTCAGCTCCTGCCAACCTAGCAGTTCGAAAGCAAGAAATTGCAAGTAGATAAATAGGTACTGCTTCAGTGGGAAGGTAACAGCATTCCGTGCACCTCGGCATCTAGTCATGCTGGCCACATGACCACAGAAACGTCTTTGGACAGCGCTGACTCTTCGGCTTGGAAATGGAGACTGGCTTACGAGCAAGGGAAACCTTTACCTTTACCGAAGTGGGAGAGATGTTTTCAAACCTGCAGATATGCCAGCACCAAGCCCTGTTGGCACTGTGCTGGTATAACTGGTGCCTGGGCAGCTTTGGAGTGTGCTGTGGGTGCAGTGAAGCTTAGTCAATATCCTGAGCTTATCCAGCCCTGGTCATGTCCCTCAGTGCTGGTATAACATTATGCCAGCAAGAATTCTGGTGTAATTAATCATCCCTATAGAAAACATGGAAATTGAAAAGACAAGACCCCCTACCCCAGCCTGCCATCCAGCTCTCAAACTCCAACTCAGCTTACGTTATCAACTAAGTCTCCAACCAATCACAGCCCTTCTAAGCACTATGTAAACCCTAGTCAGGAAAGATGACAGGACACATAGCTACTTCTCTCCAGCCCCATTTCTCTCTCTCTCTCTCTCTCTCTCACACACACACACACCACATTTTGTGCAACGTTACTGATCGTAACCCCACAGAAAGAGTATTGCACAAAAAGGGACCATCTGGACCCAAAACTATGCATAGGAAGGATCTCTGGCATTCTATTAGAGTTATTCAAATGAACAAGACAGGCATGCAGAAGCATGTGTGTTCATCTTTACACCTGGCAAATGGTAACATGATTAAAACCCACCTCTGTGAAGCTCAGGTGTACGTCATTCTAGGGCTTCACATGCCATAGTCCTGCTTATACTAAAGGTGCTCCCTCTCTTGTTGTGTTCTGCATGTGGATGGCGGAGAGCTGATGACTCAGGGGAGTGCATGCGTGTTAGCTTCTACTAGCTGGCTACATCTACCTCTGCTTGTCATGGGGTGTCAGCAGCTCAATGTGCCATTATTAGTAGGTTGCAGTGGGGGGGTTATGGACTCTGGTAAAATTGCTGTACTCTTTGTACCTTGGCAAGATATCTTTTGTTTACTTTTCTCTCTTTTGCTGAGTAAGTGTAGGATACCGACTAATGGTGCTGGCAGTCTTAGGATGGGGCCGCAACGCATTCCTGTGAGTGAGACCTACTATTAATAAACTAATAAAGTGATAAATGGCAAAAATGGAAGACAAATATCCAGAGATTTGTAAGGAAAAAAGAGCAATAAAAGCAAAAAGGTAGGTGAAGATCACACAGATCCCATCTCTGTATTTTTAGACTTGTAAAAAAGCTAAATGCAAATAAGCCCATATGATCTTTTCTATATTTTTATTTACTGATTTACAAAATCTTACTCTGCCTTTCTGCCTGGGTCTGAAGTAGCGATATTATAAGAAGTGTGCATAATTCACTATCAAAGACACACAGGAAAATGATGTTAAATATTTCTTTCATAGTTTCCTACCTTGAACTGTTGTCCACTGGTCAATTTCTACAAAACCAATCCTTGCAACTTTAGAGCAGAGGTGTCAAACTCATTTGTTACGAGGGCCGGATCTGACATAAATGCCACTTTGTCAGGCCAGGCCATGTGTGCCATAAAACATGATGTCAGGGACTGGAGATAGAAACTGTATAAAGGACAGCAGCTGGTAAGCTCTGAGTTGGTGTATCCTCACTGCAAGGCCCCATGGGCTGGGAAGGGGGTGCAAAGGAAAACCCACACAGGCAGACTGGAGAGGCAGCAATGCTGCGCTGGGAAGATGCTCCCACATTGATGCAGATGAGGTTGTTCTGCCTTGCTGAAACCACAATGGAGTGGCTCCCCACCCCAGCACTTCCTCCCTTGCATCAGTTGCTTGCGGGTCACATAAGAGCCCTGGATGGGCCAGATCTGGCCCCCAGGCTTTATATTTGACACCCCTGCTCTAGAGTCCTACATTTATTCAATAAAATTCAGAATTATATTTTGTAATGTATGTATGTATAAATAAACCACATATTACAAAAGTGGTTTGTGGGTTTTTTTCTTCATAGTACATGCAGCACTGAAGCAAGCAAGTGATCTCAATGTATTTGAACTTTCCTATAGTAAATCTTCTAAATGTCTCATAATTTTGTATGTGGAGCAAATTTGTCCCAGGCTTTGTTTATGGTGTATACTTACACTTACAGGTTGACTTTTTGGCACATCATAAACACCTTCTTTCTTTTGGCTAGTAGGAACCTGTAAAAACAAACAAAAAAACAGTAATGAAGAGTATGTGACATGAGATACATTTCTTCTAGGCATGTGCAAAACAGGGAATTTTTTCTTGTAGTGAATGTGCTACATGTTCCTTTCTACAATCAGAAGCAGTATCAGGTACATACGAACTTGCTCATTCCAGAGGGTGCCCAGTGCAGGCCCACCTTTTGGAAGAGATGCCCTATATTTCATCTAGCACTCATACCAGTCATATGTTCAAAATAATAATAACAATAGTTTCCCAGAATTCAAAAGATGGTCCTCTTAAAAAAAGTTTTCTCACTTTACAAGCAGGGGATGCTAAGTAGCAAGATTTCTACAGAAACCTTGAATACCTGCTGGTTTATATATTCATTTCAGATGAATCTGTGCAACAGATGAACAGTTGCATCATTTACACAGCAACCAAACACCTACCTTATATTCAAGGATAACATTTTAAATGAGTACTAGTAATCTAGTCTTGATTATGTCTTTCTCAGATATACAATGGCTATTACAGTACTGAGAAATAAATGTTCCTGTAAAAACTGCTGCTGTTGATATTTTATTAGCAATCAAAACAAACAGCACCATATTACAAATGTAAAGAGGCAGTCAGTAGCTTTGGGAGGGCCCACGGCTCAGTGGCAGAGCTTCTGCTTGGCATGCAGAAGGTCCTGGGTTCAGTCCCCAGCATCTCCAGTTTAAAGGGCCAGGCAGTAGGTGATATGAAAGACCTCAGCCTGAGACCCTGGAGAGCCGCTGCCAGTCTGAGTAGGCAATACTGACCTTGATGGACAAATGGTATGATTCAGTATAAGGTAGCTTCATATGTTAAGGAACTGAATTCAAGGTGCAAGACAAAACTGCTTGAGTACCTCTTTGATTCATGGAGAGGACTAGGACTTCTACAAAAGTCTTGTTTAATTTTGATTTTTAACATATATTCTTCATTTAAGGCAATGGCACTCCTCAGGAGCCATATGTGGCTCTTCTCAGCACTCTTCCCCAATGTAGCACTCACCCCATGTTTCAGGAAAGCAGGCAAGGCCCTGCCCAATGGGGCTTGTGGTTGATAGGTGCTTACCA